TTCTATTACATATGTAGTGAATTACAATAATAATAAATTATGATAATAATAATAAAAAAAACATGTATTCTATTGTTTATGTACATGGCTGGATGCCCGAACAATATCCATGGCCGCCACCACTGGGGAGACCGCCGCCAGCACTCCAATTCCTTGGCACCAAGCTAACAGCTTGTCCTTTACCCTTCTCTTTCATCATAGCTGTGGAATTGGCCGCGGTGGTAGTGCGCCCGACTCACGATCGGAAGACCGTGGGTTTGATTCCTGCCTCGACCAGATATTTTTCTCGAGAGAATTTATCTGGTAGAAGCTGGGATGATTCTGCAACCGTGTTAGGAATCACACGTTGAAAGGTAAGACCTCGTTAGTCCTCAGCTCGCACAAGTTTCTAAACTTCTGAGAGTTGTCGTTCGTATGGGGGCGACAGCTGATTAACGGAAAAACATATTTTAAACAGATTTTAAACAGATCCCCCACCACACTTTCCGCCCATTCATTGACAAACCTTATCCATTCACTATTCTTTCCGTTCTCTCCTCTCAGTGCTATCTCCCCATTTTCTCGCTCCTTATATTCTTTCCATTGACGCCATCCAGTCCTATCTCCATCCATGCACCTTTATATCACGTGTTCCGCCGTTTCGGGCTCATCGTAGCCGCAAAAACATGGTAGCTCCGGGCCCAGGTTAAACCTGACAAGGTATCCCGGAAAGTTACCATGTCCCGTAAGCAGCTTGGTGGCCTTGCGCGACAGATTCAGTGATTTATTCCCAACTGCCCTGCAGAATCTGTAGAACAGCCGCCCAGTCTCTCCCGTATCCCATTCCCTCTGCCACTCTGTCCTGATTCGTTCTTTAATCCTCTTCCTCTCTTCATTCTCACTACCCATTCCAACTACTTTCCATGTGACCTCGGCGTTCCTCATACCTTTTGTTGCCTCCTCGTGGACTTTCTTATTTCCGAGATTGTTGTTCTCGTGGCCACGCTTCCAGATTATGCAGATCCGCGCTCCCCTCGCATTCCTCTCCTCTATCATTCTCTGTATTCGCGCAACCCGCTTATTTCTTCCTGCTTTCATGGCAGAATCACTCATCACAGTCACACTCTCGTTCATATCCCATATACCTATCACTTTCTCGATGGCTATCAATTCTGCCTCGTTCACACTACTCTGTCCGGGGATTCTTTCGTTCTTTTGTACCCATTCATTTTCTTCCCATTCATACGCCCAGCCTAGGCCCATTCGTTCGTCTTCCAATTTCGCCCCAGCATCCACATACACTTTTGTCACTCTCTCGTCCTCCCTTTCCTCCAGCAACATCCCTTGCATCAATGTATTTGGACAGACGAAACTTATATGAGCAGTACCGGCATTTTCAACCGCTACAATTCTTATACTTGGGCACAACCAAATTCTTATTCTATTGTGGAGCAGAGAAGCCAATGAAGATTTGGATTAAATGTCTCAACATTTGGTATCTACTACTGAACAATTTCTTTTTGTTTTATCGCCGCGCCGTCTAAAGCCTACTTGAACAAAGAATGCGTTTCAAAGTCTACATGAAAAAATCTAAAAGCTCTGTGTTTCAAAGATGATATTCATATACGGTTTTTCCAAATAAGTTGTCATAAAATTTGACCCTCAGACACAGCCATCACTTTTCATCTATCTAGTTTAAAAACAGGAGTTTCCCTATGAAAGTGTCCAATTTGGCACTCTCTGTTCCAATAATTTGTTATTAAATTCAAATTACATTTCCTGGTTGTTTTAATTGCTTTCAAACCTCACTGTCCGGCAATGTATTGCCCCTCTACCAACATATCATGACGTCATATCGGCACCATGACAACGAATGCATTGGAAGAGATATCTTCGCCACGTCCCAGAGACTTTGCTGTTTGGGTTGAATCTTTCCTGCACTGATGAGAGGTAATACCTCGAAACCGATCTGTACTTAATCTACTCGAATAATTTTAGCATGGTCCTGCTACTGGATGAACTAGAACCTAACTTCAGTGACATATCTTGCATAAATGTTTGTCGGATATAATTCAATATCCACCGTGTTATTTGGCAGAATCCATAGTGAAAGTACTTGGGAGAGATAAATATTTCGAGATTTCATCTAGAAATATTTATTTTCTAGTAAATACTATCAATTCAAAATTCTGATTACTTTCGAGATCTCAGAGAAAGGTTCAAGGTAAGTGAGGAAATCAGCAGTAATAGTAAATGAGTGAAATATAGTGCTCCAAGTTGCAATTTTTTCAAAGTTATTGAATTTATTGAAGCGTATATATTATTAGGATCATAACATTAAACTACAATGAACAATATGATGGTATGCTTCAGTTTTCTGAATTGTATATTCGTCAAATAATCCAAATGCATCTATCCCCTGTTGGCAAAACTAGAGCACGCCTATGTAGTGTGATTCAAAGTCAATGACCGTGCTAACACATTTCAATTATATGATGGTCACGAAATATCGAATGCCTTCCTTTTGTGCCACGAATGAATTAACGCCTTGGAATCATACGGGGTCGTCAAAAAGTATGGAGAAGTTGAATGGTGCAAAAACAACACTTCAATTCGAAGAAAAATCAAGTACGATGATTATTGTTTGCTTCACTAGAAGCACATTTCAGCATGTATTCTACGGTTATCAGTTGTTTTTTGTTGTTTCTCCTCAAGGGCGTACCTGGAATTGTAATAAGGGAGATACGTTTAATAACTTACTATTTTTCATTTCTGGTAACTGGACAGCTAGGTTAATATAAGATACTAAGTACCAAATATTTTAACAACTACGTTTTGTTTACTTCCTTAGCTCTAAGTACTTCCACCTGAGCGCTGTACTGTTGTATTATACATTTATTGTCCTACTGCTAAATAGATGACAGTTGGCCTTATCGAAACAATTTGTTTGTTAATTGACATTAATCTATATTAGAATCTACCTGTTATGCTGCCAGTGAAATTAATTTTTTCGTTGTATGTTTTGTCTTCGTTATTGTTTGTTGACCTTTATTGTGTTACTAGCGATCCGCCCGGCTCCGCACGGTAGCAATGCTGATACTAAATATACAGCGATGAAAAAGTAACTTCTTATTGCACATCTACAACATGAAACGAACCTGCAAACAAACAGTCTCCGATAATATAGCGGTACGGAGAAACAATGATAAAAATGTAATTTTCATATGTAAAGGCTCCTTTGTTATACTTTTCAGCAATAATCTCAAGGGCATATACTTTTTCAAATGTTTTTGTCTTTGAAAATGCAAGTAGTTGGTTTTTGTTATAGTAATCTTCAAAATACAAATTGTTATCCGTTAAAAAACTTTGTATTTCATCTTTCCTCGAATTTTTATTCGATACTTTGATGAGTTGTAGCGAATGATAGAAAGCGTTGTCAAGAACTATTACACTATCCGCATTCAAATTTGGAATCAATGTGTTTCAAACCATTCCTCGAAAATATTAGCTTCCATGTTCTTATGATAGTCAGCATTGCAGTCCCCAAGTTTTCTTCCACATAATTTCAAAGTATTCGGAACTCATCCTTTACTTCCTCCGAAATGCAAAATGCATGTTAGGCGTACACATTTTCGAACCATCAGTCATACCAAGTTTCGTCCAAATAGAAAATTTGCCTTTCTTCTTGTCTATATTAAGTTATTTGTTCTAAGTATTTGTCACGCAATTCCACTATTCTTCTGCCTTCCATAACTGCTTGACGTTTGTTTATTATTTTGAATCTAGATCCTAGATTCTTCATCCAATTCTGAAGAGTTTTGTCACAGCAGCTCACGTCATGGCCGGAAGTATTTAATTTCTTCCTTATGATTTCACTTGTATATAGGAATCTCATTGCTTTTGTGATAGTCATATATTGTTTTTTTTCAATGATTTCATTAGAAATACATCTAAAGGTTTTGGTAATCCTGTATCACATCGCGTCTTGCGTTCATAAGATTTGTTTTTGACTATTTTACGTACAGTCAAGAAAGGAATTTCGGTCAAATCTGATGTTGCTTGTAATAGTTTGTTTCCCAAACCAAACTTGTGATGTAGATTCTTAAATACATGAAAACATACTCTCTGTGTTTCAATATTCAAATGCATCCGAATCTTCTTTACTGGTATCTATTTTTCACATTGTTCACCATCGCTATTGGAATCACTACCTACACTGAAAAAAGTCTGCGTTGTTATCACACTCCTTATTACAATTAGTACTTGTCCAAGGACGCCACATTTCAAACAGATAACAAAAATTTTAAGTAGTTATAACTGCACCTATATCGAATTTCAACACCAAAATCGCGATCAGTTCCTGAACTGAACATTGATGACACGACGGCGTTAACCATCCCCGCATTCCCCGATTTCTATTCTTTACCGTAGCATAACTTCAAATTTAATTTTATGACTCTTCAGCCAATCATAAAACACGGTTAGTGAAGAGAATCCAATACGCACCGCCAATTCTACAGTCCACGTGGACTAGTTCACAGCCGGTTCATTTCCGTGTATTGGTTTTTTTGACCTTTGAGAGTGCTGCCAACATTAAGTGTGCACAATATCGTTTACTTTGACTATACCTTTCAAAATAGGATATATGCTAACTCATCCCAATTCGCAAAAGATTTCAAAGCGAACGGTAACCAGTATTGAAAGTATCGTTTTAACAAAAAAATTAACAGAAGTATACAGCGTTGTGTCTACATTGCAACAAAAGAACACAGAACAATCCTCCAAGAATATTTTACCTTCTACCCTCCACTAACTATGAGTTGGGCGGAGAAAGAACATATGTATTGCCGCAAGTTCATACTCCGAAGTTTCATAGCTCGACGAATATACTGTCAGATATCTGTAGTAGTTTCTGGGAAATAAATTTGTAGATTGCCGATATAGCCTGCTTATACTTGAGCCTGATAATACATTTGAATATTTTCTTGGAAATGGGTGAATTTATATGAACATTAGCAGAATTACCTAATTCTGGAATTTAATTTTACAAATAAATAACAATAAATAATAAACACAATAGTTAACTGCATAAACAGGAATCATCTAAATTGTATTTCAGCCAGTTGATATACTTCGACACCCTGGTATAAACACCTGGATATCCTGGTCGACCACAACCAACACCCCAAGACACAATGCCTGGAAAAACATATTATAAACAGATATTTTCAAAAAAGCTTCCAATAATATTAGTCCTTACCAACAATCTCGTACTTATCCCCACTGTGTACTAGTAACGGTCCGCCACTGTCTCCCTGGCAAGAATCCTGGAGTCCTTTGCCGGCACAAAGCATATACGTCGTTATCCTGGATGCCCTATACTTCATGGCCCTGCATTGGGATAGAGTAAGGATAGGAACTTGCACTTCTTGGACTATGGTGGGTAACATGCCACCTTCAGCAGTTCTGCCCCAACCAACCACTGTGCCGGTCCTTCCAGAAGGATCAAGAGCTGAAAAAAAAGTATGATTTATCAATCTACTTTGTGACCACATGAAACTAAACACACTCTACGACTTGCTAATTCTAAATGACCACTATTACTATCAATATATTTGATTGAACAATAAACTGATCATTTAAATCTGGTTCAGTTCTAACCTCAGAAAAATGATTCACGACAAAAAAAAACGCTCATAAAAAATTTGAGGAAACAGGCAACATTAATTGCTATTATGATTTCTGTAAATTGAGGAACAGTTGTAAAGCTATTCGAGATCAGTGCAATGAAAATTACATCAATAAAATTGAAGATAATATTTCTGATATTCCAAAGTCTGTAATAATACTTCTGAAATTGTCAATTTGTTTGCCTCTTAACCAGACAGTGAATTTCACCCCTGAATATAATTTTGAAAATAAAGTCTATGTCAACAATTATAGTATAATATAATAGTACGGATATAATAGATTACGTTCTCTTTGTTTCACCTAAAGTCTCAATGGGACCTGATGAGATACCTTTATTTTTCATACACAAATGTCTATACACTTTAGCAATACCATTACGAAACATCTTCAATCAAATTTTTACTCTAGGCACTTTTCCAGATTATTAGAAACATATCTTCCTGAAACCAATACATGAACTAGGAGATAAGAAAAATATTAGGAATTATAGAGCAGTTTGCAATCAGTCAGAGATGGCTAAGATGTTTGATTCTATGCTTACAAAGAAACTTTCCTGGGACTGTAAGTCATTACTCAATTCCCAACAACACGGTTTCTCAAAAGGTAAATCCACTTGTACCAACCTTGCTCTTTACACAAACCACTTAACTGAGAATCTTGAGAGAAGACTACAAGTTACTCAGTCTATACTGACTTTTCCAAAGCCTTTGATAGAGTCAACCACGGCCTACTTATATCTAAAATTCAAGCGCTTGGTATAGGCCACCGGCCACAATGTTTTGCAAGTAATCAATAACTTCTTAACTGGTAGAACTATCTGTGAAATCTGTTCTGTTTAACAACGAAGATACAACATCTACGCTCATGCAAGTTCCATCAGGGATAACGCAGGTATCCCATATGGGCCCACTGCTGTTCAACTTGTTTGTATCGGACATACAATTTGTTTTCAAATATTCAGAATTTCTTATGTTTGCTGATGATCTCAAACTTTATCGAGCAATTACTTGCCGGGAAGATGCTGAATTAGTTCAAAAAGATCTCGAAGCCTTTTCCAAGTGGTGTAGAAATAATTTGTTAGAGGTAAACATTGATAAGTGTCAAATCATTACGTTCGCTAAAATTAGAAGTCCAATATTCTTTGAATATACATTGAATAATATAGCTCTTAAAAGAGAAACATTTATTCGCGATCTGGAAGTTAAATTTGATAGTTAAATTAATTTTAATCTTCAAGTTTCTAATCGGATGAATCCGCAATCAATCAATATAAAATTGTTACTTCTAACAACATGAATGAATCTACAAGTGTTCTTTGTAGAGATGATCTTTCAGCTAAAAATTGAATGATTTCACGAGTTCACAATCATTTGATTCAGTAAGGAAGTATTCAAGTAACACTTCATTGGGAAATCTTTACTGGACAGTTCACAAAACCGCAATACGTGTTTCACTATACAATAGCTTCCTCAAGCGTGTTCATACTGACCAAATTCTGACAGACGGGAACGAGTCCAAACACGAGTGTAAAGTAGTGCCCAAATACGATTGGATTATTTTCTTTCTTTAAATATTTTTTCTGATGTGGAAATTGTTAATTAGTTTAATACATGTCCTTCCAATGGTTTGGTTACATATTTCAAAAAGTTTAAATTTTTAATTAGTTTACCTGAACTCAGTCATTGAGTGAGAAGGTCATTTGATTTAAATTGTTATTATAAAATGCACTAATTAGGTAGAATCAATTACAACACGTGTTGCGATTTTGTAAACTGTTCAGTGAAAATCTCACAGTAGTTACTTGAGTGTTACTCCCAAGTGTTACTTGAACAGTTTATAGATTTTCATCAGGTATCGGCCAATTCCATAACATATCTCACTCATCATCAATCAAAATAAGTGGACTATCAATTAACGAGTCAATCAACATAAACACTTGCTACTAACTGTTAGTCAACACCTGTGAAAATTTACATACCTCTTCAAATAAATTATTAAATTTCTTGAGTGATCAATTAATTTGAGGCTTTCACATATTTACCAAAATCGCAGTCTATTTTTAAAAAAATAACCTGAAAATTTCATTCCATTCTGCATATAGCTTTCATTTTGTTGAAAAAACAATCAATTCAATAAAATTTCAGAAAGTTTTTCTGACTAATAAGTTGAAATATCAGTAATTGCAATAAAACAGTAATCAGCAAATTTATCAACGAGCAAAACTATGAATCACTGAATCATTATGTCAAAGCAATTTTCCGGGTGTGTTGGCTGTGTCTGACGGTTTTTGTAGCTGACGTTTCCTATATGGCTACGGTGGAGTTGTCATCGCAATAGATACTAATATCGATAGTTTATGTTTCGGTTTTTAATCCATTGGTGAAGGAAGTGACTTTTTTTCTATTGGTTGAATTGAATGACCAGAAACGTCTGCAATTAAATGCAGGTAGCTAGACTTTATTTATGTTAGTTTCCTCTTTCTTGCAGTGGAAATTGTTTCGGTGTTTCTGAATTTCTATGGCATCCGTATGGCATCCGTATATATAATTGGGTAGCAAATGGAATATGACTTCTTTGTAATTTCTTTTCATATTATATTTAGTATTATGTAGTAGAACAGTTCATTTAAATGTTATATAAGGATACACTTATCCAAATATAAACGTTAATCAGTCACTCTCTGAATACAAATTTTCTTCATCTCAATGTTGCTTCTGCTTGTGCTGCTATCGTCATTTAAATTTCTAATTACTGATTTTATGTCTGTTTGAACGTCTGTGAATGTTTCATTTTCTCAATATTTCCGCCCTATATCTACCACATGTTGGCAATGCTTTTGCCATTCCTCAGAAGTGATTGAAAGTCATGCTTGGCCAGTTTCCTCACATCTTCCAACTTGAAAGTTACATTCCTTTGGGAAACGTTGTTTTTGTCAGTAGCTCAAATGAGTTCAATGGGATTCAAATCCAGATAGTAGGGTGGAAGTCGCAAAACGTCCGTGTTCAAGCAGAACCTCATCGAATTTTTATGTAATATGATGCTTTTTATTTACCTTGATCAGCTAGTATAATTAGGGTTTGAGCATGTTAGGGGTGAACATAATGCCTTTTTGGTGCAGCCACTTCACCATGTCAGCCTTCCTAGAATGTATGTTGGAAACTGGATTAATTTGAATATTATGGTATGGAGCATTATCGGTCACGACTACCAAATTCTCAGGTAAATTTGGGATCAACTTTTCTTGTAAGTATTTACCATAATTTTCAGAATTCATTGCTGAATGATAATGTCCTTATGTTGTACCTAATTGTGCCTGTTGTTATACCTAATTGTGCCAATTAGTGCCCGTGTCACCTCCTGCATGGACAATAATGAGTCTTGGTCCCTTCGCAAAATTAACCCTTTGGTTAATTCATCCGTCCAATTCTTGGAAGATGCATGTCCACTATGAGGTATGTTTCATCAAGAAATACAATTGGTCACTGTTGGCTAGGAAAATAATTGATTTTTTGTAAATACTTGATCCTCAATGCTCTAATGTCCATTTTCTCTATTAACCTTTTTCTATTATTTTCAGTCCTCCATTTGAAACTTATTTTCTTTAAATTTCTACGAAGAGATGTTTCGATCATTTACGACACCCTTCCGGGTGTCCAACCAATTATGTGGAATTGACTGCGATGGTAGTGCGCCTGACTGACGATTGGGAGACCGTGGGTTCGATTCCCGCCCCGACCTGATATTTTTCTCTATTCTGAGAGTTGTCGTTCGTATGGGGGCGACAGCTGATTAACAGAAAAACAGATTTTAAAATAGATTCAAAACAGATATATTGCCAAACGCCAACAGCATTGGAGGAAAAGTAATGATACGCCTCTGTACAGAGCATTTATATGTCTTGCAAGAGCTTTAGTGGGGGTTACATTGAAAATGAGTTTGTGCGCATGGGGACGCGCCATCACGTTTGGCACTTGCTGTATATTTTCCACCACTGCTGATATGTTGGCATGCCCCAGGCGATAATTCAATCAGTCGTTTGAACAACCTCTCTCGTTCAAAAACATCGAATCTAGTTTATTTCGATTATTTCGTATGAATTAATGCAGATCTGCACCTGTCTCGGCTCGAGAAAGCTGAAAACTTACACATCTCTTCGTGGTTCCAATATAGACCGATCCACCACTATAAGGATTCCGGTTCACCACCGGTGTTGCAAAATGTCTTCTGGGGTCTTTAGCTGAAATTAGAATCTCTTCCAATCGGAACTGGTAAATTTCTGAAACACAACGTGACAATGAAATTCAAGCCAACCAAAACTATTATGCACTGCTGATGCACTGTTTGGAACTTTAGATGTAGTAATTAATATTACTGTAGTAAAGATAGTAAGTATCTAAGAGGGCTTTGAAAACACCGAGGGAATCCTAGATCCCTTTTAGTTTTGGATCAATCTACATTGGAACCACAAAGAGAAGTTAGCATGTCCTGTTCTCTGAGCACAAAAAAAATTGTCTCCTGAGACATACCGACAACCAGCAGGAGTCGAACAATAACTCACAGAAGGCACCTATATTGTCGCGTGTTTCGATAGTACGCACTGTTGCTATAAAAATTTAGAAATACAGAAACAATTTCAACGGAAAGTAAGAGAAAATCACCATAAATAAAGTTTGGCTACCTGCACCTGGTTGCACACGTACTAGGTTATTTAATTCAACCATACGGAACAAAGCCACGCACACCATAGATCCGGAGACCCAAACCATCAATGTTGTATCTGTTGTAACAAGTAAACAATTCGTTCGTAGTCACATCGACTTTGATAATGTCTACAATCGTAGACGGAACAAAAGACATAAAAACCTGTAGACCATGGCCAAAAAACCCGGAGAATAGTTGATTTTATTATATCCGGCCGCGAAATGATTTGATCATACATTATGTTTTTCACCTGATACATCTAAACAGTGAGTATGTCGTTTCATTCTTCTTACTTTTTGGTAAACAAATCGGCCTGATTTGTTTCGTGAATTCTACAGGTTTCCTCAGCTTTAACAACGCAATATCATGATTATAGGTATCCTGGTCGAAATTCCTATGTCTGATGACGGAAGTAACTGCTCTCATCATGGCTGGAATTTCGGCTGTAGTCGAAACATCGTGGTCGCCAAGAACTACCCTTATCTTAGACTTCTTCAGCCTAGAACAACCATTGGAAATCAGGTATATAGTGTCTAGAATCAAAACAAAGTCACATTTACCTTCTGACACAATGAGCTGCGGTTAAAACATATTCTTTGGTCAAAAGTGAAGCTCCGCAGTGATAATGCCCGTCGTACACTATTCTCGCTATCCAAGGGTAACGGTTAATTCCGGTAGGTCGTCCTCCCACTATTCTTTTTTCAGGGTTGGATACTCCACATTCTGAAAAATAAAGCGAATGAAGATCGAAAAACGGTATTAGATTGCTGAAGGTAAGTTAAATAAAGGTTTAAAAGTAAATTTTATAAGTGCTGAATGTACATGAGGTAAGTTCAATACATTTTTAGATGTAAGTTCAGTAAGTAGTCAAAGTAAGTAAAATTTCATTTCATGCGTTCGGACTTCCATTGTCTAATATGATTCCACTATGATTCGAAATCTATGAAAGAACTTAATGTTATGTTGATGAGTAAAAACATGCTGTGATATTTCCGAATTGATTGTTTCTCGTCGATGTGTGTTTTTTTGTGCTCGGCAATGCAGACTTTCAATGGACTTTTTGTTTCACCGATATTGTAGGATTTGCCGCACTCACATGATATCCGGTAAATACAATTCTTGGAATCGCAGTCCGCGTTTGGTGGCCTGGTTTTTATGAGACTGCTACAGATAGTGTTACCGATTCTGAAGCACGTTCTAATGTTGTATTTAGATCCAATTTTTCTTATCCTTTCCGAAAATCCTCTCACGTAGGGATGTAAAAGCCCTGGTTGTGACGGCTTCTCTCTCTTGCGAGGCTCTTGATGTCTTCTAGCTAAAGCCTGTTCTACCATCACTATGGAGTAACCATTCCATTGAAGGTCATTTTTGATGATGCCTAGATCCTTTTCGAGACCCGAAAGCACGATCCAGTAGAGTCTTGATGATTCCTCTTTTGGTAAATTGATGGTGGTTGGATTCGTGATTCAGATATTAACCCGTGTGAGTGGGTTTTTGGTATACAGATGTTTCCCAGTTACTGTCGAACCTCTTCACCAACACGCTGTTGATGTGCGTGTCGTTAACGTATCTCAACCAGACTCGGGACTTCAATTGCCAGAGTTTCAAACCACTACGTATATATGTTGGCTATAACTGATAAAAATCGCATCGGCATTAATATCCCTCATCTTGCGTAAATGGCATAAATGGCAGTTCCGTACACAGCACTCCGTACACCTTCTAACATGCGATTCCTGGCAAGTTGAAATACTAATACTCCAATAACCACCCTGTGTTTGATGAACCATTGAATGTCAATAAAACAAGTATTACCTATATTTTTGATTCATTAAGGCTAAGTATTTGGACTGAACGGCATATTACTGGTCTCCCTTCCAATAGCCTCTTATGGAACAAGCTGGAGACAAGTTTACTCTATCACAAAATTCATCTATATCAGATACATCTTGAGAGCGAATGAAGATTTCATCTTTCCTATAAACTTGTGTCCCATTTTGGAAAATTACTGAAAAACTTCCTTAACAAATTGTCTCTGGTTTAGATTCTTGATCACACTGGTCTGGATCGTGATGGAACGAATGACTTCCCTGCAAGAGAGCTTTTGTCAGACTGCAGGCATCGCTTTAGGTTTGGCCAAATAAACATTGAATATCTGCACTGCAAAAAAAGTTTGAGACTGCTGACAAAATTCAATTGAATCATTTCAAGGCACTCATACATCAGGGATGACCTACGTTGTGTAACAGGTCACTATCGTCTGAATCATCAGTGTTGTAAATCATGCCCGGAAGAGAATAACGCCGGCCGCCACTGGTAACCATAAACCAAACGTGACGTAGCTAAGAGAGCGCAAATGCATAATGTTCCCTGCCACTCTAGAAGCAGCGAGACTAATGCTACCGAGTTCGACGGAACTTCGGCGAAATTTCTACGGCATTTGTGCGGTAAGCGAAGTGATATAGTAAGGCGAATGGCAATTAAATAATATTTGAAGTTTAGTTGTAGTGTTTGTTGTGTATAAAGTGAAATGAAGTTAAGTTTGATTATTCAGTGTAGTCAATTATTGGCCAACCCACGGAGAAAAACGTAACAATATGAAGAAACTTGGGACAGTGGCTTCAAAAAATGATGATACAACAGAGCACATATAAGTTCTTTCGTTAGGCGCTTCCTACTTAAATAAAACGAAGTGTGTGTGAGATATAATCAATTTTTTTTCATTTGAAAGACCTATTGATGAATATTACTGGAGTTTTTTCTCCTCAATCGTTATTTTTAACACCTCGACACGTGTTTCGATCACCAAGTGATCATCTTCAAAGATGATCACCAAGTGATCATCTTTGAAGATCACTTGGTGATCGAAACAGGTGTCGAGGTGTTAAAAATAACGATTTGGTGTTGGTAAAAAACTCCAGTATTATTCATTACTACACCAAAGGGTCCAAACAGTGCATCATAAGACCTATTGATGCCATTAAGTGTGGAATATAACATCGTTCAAATGTCCACCACGGCTTCTTCGGGTGGAGCGTATCCAAATCGTTCAATTTTCCATGACCCTGTCACATAAATCAGACAGAATTTGACCAATGGCATGGGTTATGTTGGCTTTGAGGACCAATGTGGGTTGTGGTTTATTCGCATACACCTGCGAGTTAAGAAAACCTCACAAAAAAGTATATCGGAGTCAAAGCGCATGATCTCGGTGGCCAGTTCACATCACCTCCAGAATATCCAATGTGACATGAGCAGTGTGGCACGTAACGCCGTCCTGTTAAAACCACATGTCGTTGGTATTCAGATCACCCAATTTAGGTCAAATGAAGTTAGTAATCATCAACCTAAAGTGCTCGCCGTTGTCAGTGATGGCTTGGGCCATCGGATTCTCCTGCATACTCTCACAGACAACGGCTATGTTTTCGGCAGATCTTGCGTTTCGTCGATGTACGGGTGTTGGTCGACCGTTTACTGAACCAGTGGTCTCAAATTTATCCACCACATTGCAAATAGTTCTCTTGGCAGGACGATTATGGCGACCGAAGCGCGCGGTGCGTTGCCCATTTTGATTATTTATTTATTATTTGCACATGTTGTTGAATGCTATATCCGTTCATGGTGATGTGGCAAAACGTACTGAATAAATGACAACCAATTTTATAGATGTAGTTTCAACAAGATGGCCGTTGTCCCCGTTGGAAGACTCTATATTTTGTACTTCAAATCAAATTAAATCAGTTTATTTCCAGAGATTCTACAGCATGGAAAATCAATCAGAATGAACGAAGAATCGTCGGCAAATTGCACTGTGCAATGTTGACGATTACCGTTATTGAGGTCATGTACGAATTAAAGAAAGAGCTTAGGTCCTAGGACGCTACCCTGAGAAACACCGGTGGAAACGACACAGGCTCTAGAGTGGAAGGTCCCAGCCTCCAGTTTAACCCTCACAGTTTGCGTTCTGCAATCCAGCAGCGGGCCACATCTTATGTTCGGTGTTTGACAGAGTTTCACTCTAGTCATTTATTCACCAAATGAGCCGACTGGCTTCAAGTATCAGTTGAAGTCGAAATAGATTCACTCAATTCGAACCTAACCTAGCTGCAGTAACTTGCCAAAATGAAGTTTTGTAGAATATTCAGAGGTACGTTCAATAATAATTCGAATGCACTGAGACAATTTCAGTGAATACATATGTTAAGTTCAAAAGTAAGTTCAGTATTTTGTCAAAGAAATATTCCGTGAGTTCAGTAAAATCTCCAATCAAGTTCATCAAATAGGCGTACTCACCACAAGAACAGTTTCTTGTCTTTCCATCGTCATTTTCTGTATCATCTTCATCGAAAGTAAAGTCATTAGCAGCGCTACCAAATAAATTGAACAGCCCATTAATTGGATTAAACAGAAATCGCTCTTCTCGTGATTTATTAGTTTGGTGCCTCAGCGTTGGAAAATTGGCGGTTTTCTGTAAATATAAAGGTCTAATTGGGTTTATTGAAATTTAAACTAGTTTGTTTGATACTGGGGAAACTGCTCTCGAAATCGAACCTTACGGTACACATGTTTTTCTCGAAATAATCATTCACAAAATGTATTCTTCGTGAATTTTAGGTCTAACTCATGGCTAAACGACACATAAATTAGTCACAGTCGGGGAGAATCATGTTCAAGTTCAAGTTTATTATGTACTCAATTGTTGCGCAAGTGATATGTAGAAACACATGCGGTGTGAAGCAATTATTGCGGTTCTCGAAAGGCGGAGATGTTTTTATTATTCATTTTATGCAAGCCCATGTGAAATGTATTCAGAATAATATTCCGGAAGAGAATAATTCGGAATACAATTCCAACGAGATTAAATTTTCCTACTTTAAAACATGCAATTGTAGTTTCAAAACATGTTTGAGGAAGAGTATTGTTTATTTAGCTTACTTTTGTATTTCATTATTACATAGGTGACAATTTGAAAATCTAATATTTGTAAGTGGTAAATAGAATGAATAGAAAAAGAAATTGAAAGTGTTATGTAAACGAGGAGAATATTGAAGTATTATGATAAGTAAGTTGTCATTTATGAATGCAGTGAACACAAAAAAGTTAATCTTACAGAATAAATGAATCGGAATACGCAAAAAGGGCACATGTCATTTTCGACCAATTCCATATTTTTACAAAAATTGGGAACATGTCACCGATATGTGCGTATTCCTAATCAAATGTATATTTTGTGTTAATAATAACATCAATAGTATTTGTTTATGAATGTTTCATTCTTTTTTTACTTCAACATCCAACATCTAACTAACAGTTAGATTTTATTTTTCATAAAATATCTTTGCACAACCCAAACCTATATTTAATAAATAGTTTTGGATGTGTGAACCGTTATTACATATTCAAGTTATCGCGACTTATAACAAGTATCCTCAAAATCATGGAGGTTAATTAAATTAATGAAAGCTCAATTCGATGGACATTCACAAATAATCAAGACCAAACGATGCATAATAAGTGGAGAAACTGAAGAAATTAGCAAAAAATTTTGCATAAAATTAACTCTTGAAGGAGAGAACTGGTCCGATAGCAAATCAGGTCACCTGGTGCCCCTAAATCATATATTTTTTTTGTCCTACTGTCAATGCGACTCAACTAAGCAGTTTCATTTAAGAACATATATGATAATACATTTATACACACATATAATAATACATTTTATTGTATATTAACGACTTTTCGAAGAAAAAAAAAACCAAAATTCAATATATTGCTTTGCTAACGACAGCACACGTCTCGTCATTCCATTAGGATTTCAGGATATCGGCTAAGAAGGAACATCTTCACCGACAGCAGCACGTTGCATATCTTAATGAGGATCTAGAAGTGATTTCGAATTGGGATGAAACTAGCTAGGTTCAATTCAATGACACAAAAACCCAGGCATCTGTTTTCTCCAAGAAGATAAATGTCCTCGAACCGGATATAATAATGTCAGGTCAGACAATTCCGCTTTCCGCTTCAGTCAGTTTCTTGGCGGTTAAAATGGACACCAATTTGTCCTGGCACAACGGAATGGTTACTCCAGAGTGATGGTAGAACAGGCCTTAGCTAGAAGACAGCAAGAACTACACAAGGAAGAGAAGCCGCCACAACCAGTACTTGTACTTCCCTACATCAGAGGATTAGCGGAAAGGATAAAAAGGGTTGGGTTCAAGTACAACATCAGGACCTGTTTCAGATCTGGGAACACTATCCGTAGCAGCCCTACAAAAACCAGGCCACCAGACGCGGACTGCGATTCCAAAAATTGCATTTACCAGGTGCTCTGCGAGTGCGGAGAATCATACATCGGTGAAACTAAGAGGCCATTGAAAGTTCGTATTGCTGAGCACTAGAAACACACACAGCGAAGAGAAACCAGCAAATCCGGAATAGCAGAGCATGTTTGGACTCATCAACATAACATCAAGTGGGTTCAAACTGGTTTAGGAGAAAATTCAAAGAAGCCGCGTATATTTTGTCCAACAACGCATTCAGTCAAGCTAGCATAGAGATACGTAACATATGGAAACCTCTAATGAAGCGAAAAACGATCAATTCCCGCCAAACGGTCATCTCCCGCTAAAAACAAATGAAGCGGAAAGAGTGAAGAGGGAATAGGTGAAAGCACTCGAACGACCTATAAATAGTCAGATCTCGGAGGAATAAGTCCCGTCGAGAAGGCATTGGTCTTTGCAGACACAATGGAGAGTCAGTTCCAGCTTAACATTGACCCGGATGATGATATTGACCGTGATATCCGGCTGGAGCAACGAGTTCAGCGAATCCTTAGGGAAAATGACGACGACGTGATTCGTCCATCTTCGGTGAAAGAACTGAGGGGGTGCATTAGGGCCTCCAAACCCAAGAAGGCTCCAGGAATTGATTCAATTAACAATAGGTTGTTTAAGCAGCTCCAGGAGAACTTTATCAGATATCTATTGGATATAATAAACAGCTCAATCGCCCTCAGATACTCCCCCTTAAGATGGAAGCATGCCGTAGTTGTCATGATTCCGAAACAGGGCCAGAACCCTTTGTTTTCCCAGAATCATCGTCCGATTAGTCTGCTTTGCTCAACGGCTAAGCTGGCTGAACGTGTTGTGCTGCAAAGGCTAATCGAAGAAGTTGAAGACCGAAATGTTCTGCCTGATGAACGATTCGGCTTCAGGAGGGCACACTCAACCGAGTTGCAGGCCTTGAGACTGGTCGAAAACTCCATCTCAGAGCTTGATAATAGGAAGACAGTCCATCTTGTCCTCCTGGACATTTCGAAAGCCTTCGACTGAGTATGGCACGAAGGCTTATTACATAAAATGCTCGATTTCGATCTGCCTTGGGGCCTGATCCGGTGGATTAGGTCCTTTCTGAAGGGCAGAACATTTCAGGTCCGATTTGAAGGAACCCTGTCTCCTGTCAGGGAAATCCGAGCCGGAGTGCCTCAAGGAGCTGTTCTGTCTCCAGTACTGTACAACCTTTACGTGAGCGACCTTCCGAGGTTCGATCACGTGAAGGTTTACCTATACGCCGATGATACGGCTCTCCTCGCTTCTTCCATGGGTCGAGGGTTTGCGGTCGTCTAGATGCAACGCGCATTTGACGACCTCGAACGCTGGTACCTGGAGTTTAAGATTCGGGTGGAGTTTAAGATCGAATGGCAAACGCGAGTCAAATACCTAGGTCTTTGGGTAAACCGCCGACTCACCTGGGAACAGAGTACAAATGAGGATAGCCAAACTCTATCCTCTGATCAATCAAAACTCTAAGCTCAGTCTTAGAAATAAGATTTTATTATACAACACGATGTTCAAGCCTGTCATTATGTATGCTTCAGATGCTTCGGGACGAACCGCTCCGTCAAACCTCTCCACTTTGGAAAGGTTGCAAAATAAACTTCTCAGGATGCTGGTGAATACTCCATGGTTCTTGCGGAATGAAGCCATCCGCAGAGATTTGAAGCTGTTAACTATACGGCAGTCCATTCAGTCGAGGACTGCCGTATAGTATAGAGTTTTAGAGTCAGCGGAAGCCGTAGATTACACTATAGACGACCCCACTCGATTCAGAAGGCCCCGTCGCTCGTTTGAGTGAAGGTCCCACGACATCTGTTAAAATGAACAGTTTGTTCATCAAATACCCCAGTCAGAAAGGAGTACACAAGGCCAGAGCGGCATAGATGTCATTGACCTTTATGTCGCCATCAAAACACCCTACGTCATGAACCACTCGTCCTCCTGACGAAAGGGTAAGGGCTAAGTTTCCAACCTGATTAAGATGAAGATGACTATCGACGAATAAGTCCAGTTATCACCCGAAGACGATTGTGGATACTAACAATCGAAACGTCGTGAAGTAACTTGGTTTGAAATCTTTTAATTTTATTTTTCATTTTTTGTTAATAATAATTTTCAATTTTTATTTTTCAGCTTTCATTAATAATTCAATTTTTATTTGTTTGGTTGTTGCTTGTATGTTAATTCTTTGTAATTCCAGTTTTATGTGTAATAACATTGTTATTTTCGGTTATTCTTATTAATTTTTTCAATTGTTTTTTAGGGTTTTCAAATCAATTGATATTATATTAGACAATGGAAGTCCGAACTGATGGAATACACAATCATGTCGCTTGAATTGCAAAGAATGCTTGTCAAAAGCTTGGAACACTGTTCCCAACCAGAAAACTACACACCTCAGCAACTTTTGATACTTCATAAAGCTCAGATCAGACCTTCTTTGGAGTATTGCTCTCATGTATGGAGGTCTGTCAAACATAACCTGAAGTTTCTGGATTCCATCCAGAAAAGAGCCATCCGCATGATTGGAGACGCAAACATCACGTGCAACCTTGATAGCTTGGAACATCGAAGAAAGTTTGAAGATTTGTCTCTCTTCTATAGATACTTCCACAGTGGGTGTTCAAGTGACTTGGTACACTCGATTCCACCAAGAGTGTTACATATCAGAAGTACGCGACGGACTGTGGCTGTTCATCGTTTTGAGGTTCAACTCGGTACACCTCGAACTTCACTGTTCACGAACTGTTCCATCTGGAGAACTGCGTTCATGTGGAATACACTTCCTGAGAACGATTTTCCAAATGGATTTATTCTCCAGCGATTCAAATCCAATGTGAATCGCTACTTTGGCACAGACACCACTCTGAGAGCGTTTCAAGAAATTTCCTTTAATACTGGTCCTTGAAAAACAATTCAAGATGAAATTTCTATTTGTGAATATTTGGACAATTTCTGAGGATACGTTTTTTTAATAGGTTAAAATTGTCAGTTATTAACTAGTTTATTCACTAGGCATTAAAATTCAAATTATTGATATGTGAAAGATTAGTACCTACCTATTGAATAATGGTGAATAAGCTATGGTATAGTGAAACATATGTCATAGTTTAGTGAAATGTTTAGTGAATATCGCAACACATTATCATGCATTTTCATCAAGAAGCTGTCAATCCAATCAAAATCCTAAAAATATTTATTTGCACTGAGAGAAGCTGAAAGTAGAAGTTGTTTTTCTTGAGAGAATGCTACACAACCAAATAGCTCAGATGTCAGAATTGATTATTGAATCAATCAGAATTATTGCCAAAAACCGTTTTGTACTCTTATCATATTTGATATCATATATCAAGTGTGTATATCTGGCGAAATTGCATTGAGAATGCTTGCTACTCTCGTATTATAGAAAAATTAACAAAAATAGGGATAACCCACAATAACCATTTTTTATCCTTTACTTTTTATAAGAAATAATGGCTTATTCACGAAGTGATTTTAATATTTCTTATGTTTGCTGATGATCTCAAACTTCATCGAGCAATTACTTGCCGGGAAGATGCTGAATTAGTTCAAAAAGATCTCGAAGCCTTTTCCATGTGATGTAGAAATAATTTGTTAGAAATGAACACTGATAAGTGTGAAATAATTTGTTAGAAATGGACATTGATAAGTGTCAAATCATTACGTTCACTAAAATTGGAAGTCCAATATTCTTTGGATATACATTGAATAATATAGCTCTTGAAAGAGAAACTTTATTCGCGATCTGGGAGTTAAATTTGATAGCAAAATTAATTTTAATCTTCAAGTTTCTGATTGGACGAATCCGCAATCAATCAATATAAAACTCTTACTTTTAACAATAAGAATCAATGAATCTACAAGTGTTCTTTCTAGAGATGATCTTTCAGCTAAAAATCGAATGATTTTACCAGTTTACAATCATTTGATTCAGTAAGGAAGTATTCAAGTAACACTTCATTGTGAGATCTTTACTGGACAATTCACAAAACCACAACACGTGTTTCACTACACAATAGCTTCCTCAGGCGTGTTCATACTGACCAAATTCTGGCAGACGGGAAAGAGTTTAAACACGAGTGTAAAGTAGTGCACAAATACAATTGGATTATTTTCTTTCTTTAAATATTTTTTCTGATGTGGAAATTGTTAATTAGTTTAATACATGTCCTTCCAATGGTTTGGTTACATATTTCAAAAAGTTTAAATTTTTAATTAGTTTACCTGAACTCAGTCATTGAGTGAGAAGGTCATTTGATTTAAATTGTTATTATAAAATGCACTAATTAGGTAGAATCAATTACAACACGTGTTGCGATTTTGTANATGATGCTTTTTATTTACCTTGATCAGCTAGTATAATTAGGGTTTGAGCATGTTAGGGGTGAACATAATGCCTTTTTCGTGCAGCCACTTCACCATGTCAGCCTTCCTAGAATGTATGTTGGAAACTGGATCAATTTGAATATTATGGTACGGAGCATTATCGGTCACGACTACCAAATTCACAGGTAAATTTGAGATCAACTTTTCTTGTAAGTATTTACCATAATTTTCAGAATTCATTGCTGAATGATAATGTCCTTATGTTGTACCTAATTGTGCCTGTTGTTATACCTAATTGTGCCAATTAGTGCCCGTGTCACCTCCTGCATGGACAATAATGAGTCTTGGTCCCTTCGCAAAATTAACCCTTTGGTTAATTCATCCGTCCAATTCTTGGAAGATGCATGTCCACTATGAGGTATGTTTCATCAAGAAATACAATTGGTCACTGTTGGCTATGAAAATAATTGATTTTTTGTAAATACTTGATCCTCAATGCTTTAATGTCCATTTTCTCTATTAACCTTTTTCTATTATTTTCAGTCCTCCATTTGAAGCTTATTTTCTTTAAATTTCTACGAAGAGAAGGATCATTACGACACCCGAAAGGGTGTCGTAAATGATCCTTCTAATATTGGAATACTCATACTCGAGAATATCAGTTACTGGCGCTCTTCTAGGCCGCTTCTTCAATAAAGTGAAAGTTTTACTTCTCCATTATTTGCAGAAATTAATTGCACCCCTTCTTTAACCACTTTTTCACTGGTTCTTATTGAAATACCTAAGACAAAATAAAGATTTGTGTTGAAATTGTTATTTTTTTAAATTGATTTAATGTTACCTGTAGCGAGAGATGTTTTATTTCTACATTTGTTAACGTATCCGACTCACATTTAACGCTAAAAATGATTGAACACTTTGAAAATTATTTCACGTGCCTGACTCTTGACTGGTTTTTTGCTAGGCGATGACAGTTTTTCAGAAACAAAACCAATTATGTGGAATTGACTGCGATGGTAGTGCGCCTGACTGACGATTGGAAGACCGTGGGTTCGATTCCCGCCCCGACCTGATATTTTTCTCTAGATAATTTATCTGGTTGAAGCTGGAATGATTCTGCAACCGTGTCAGGAATCACACGTTAAAAGGTAAGACCGCGTTAGTCCTTAGCTCGCACAAGTTTCTCAACTTCTGAGAGTTGTCGTTCGTATGGGGGCGACAGCTGATTAACGGAAAAACAGATTTTAAAATAGATTCAAAACAGATACATTGCCAAACGCCAACAGCATTGGAGGAAAAGTAATGATACGCCTCTGTACAGAGCATTTATATATCTTGCAAGAGCTTTAGGGGGGTTACATTGAAAATGAGTTTCTGTGCATGGGACGCGCCATCACGTTTGGCACTTGCTGTATATTTTCCACCACTGCTGATATGTTGGCATGCCCCAGGCGATAATTCAATCAGTCGTTTGAACTGTACCGTAACCGAAATAATAAATTTATTCCAATTGGCTTTTCAACACTGTATAACATTCTTCAGTATATTTAGTAGTACCTGTACAGAGTCGGAGCGGATCGCTAGTAAAAGATATAATGGTTGCGAAATAATTTTCTGGAAATTTACCACTTGAAACTTTTCACAGAGATAATTGCTCGCTATAGGCAATTGATGATATCAATTGCCTTGGTCCAACTAATTCCACTCATCAATCTCAAGTAAATAAGGGTGAGTTGGCTCAAATTTGTGAAAGTATTGGACACTTCATAGGGCATGCAAACTAAGTGTTACACAATTGAAGAAAAAAATTTGTCGAATTGAAAAAACTCGTTCATACTCACACCACCCTCAGTGAAATAACATAGTCCGCTCCCGAAAATGAAAATCACGAGAACAGAAAACTCGCAAAACTTCCGAACTAGCATATTAACCGAACTAGAAAAATCACTTCATATCACGACGCTTTTTTCGAAAAAGTCGGACCTGTTCGCGCCGACATTCGCAGCTGATTAGCTAATTATTTATCGAGGAAAAAGTGAGAGCACCGATGAAAATCGACAGTGACACTGAGAGCTTTCACCGTCTTTGAGCAACTAAGAATTAAGAAATTCTTTCACCATAACCTTCAGAAGAAAGTTAATGGGATTTGCGAGGTTGTAATAAAACTTAAGGAGGACGTTTTGTTTTTGGTCTCGTTACGGATGAATTCGATGAAAGTAGACAACAATGGCAGTGGTGTAGGTGGATGGCAAACAAAGGAAAACTTAATCGTTGATAGAATATTCAGTATAATCAGAAGGTTATCAATGCATTGTTCTTATACATTGTCACGAATGGCAGCTTAAGACATCAGAATGAATATTATTCTTTGAATCACTTTTTCCTAATTTAGACAAATACTTTTTGTGGTAATATAACATTTTCTTGAACAATTATGTCAATCAAATTGAAAGCATAATTGTAAATTCGCAAGCTTCAATATAAGAAAATAAATTTTTGGGAAAGAAAGTTTTTAGCCTTCTACTTCTCCATCTTGACACAAAAAGGTGGAAATCCTCCAAAAAAAGGAAGGAAACAATCAATTTCAAAAATTAACTCAATAGAAAGATGTTTAGGTCATGCACAGAAGTAACTTTCAGACACGAACAGGAAGTAAAAGCCCTTTCGAAATATATTGTCGAAATAAATACTTTTTTTCTGTGACGGGAAAAAAGTTTGACATTTTATCTCTGATGACATGAAGCGCGTTTCATCAACCTTGTTGGCGTCTTCAGGAAATGAAGTTTACTAATTCCCAACTTCAAAACTGGTCTCTATTTATATAAAATGGGCTCAGGAGCAGTTAGCAACACCCTGATTTTCCTCGAAAAAGCATCGTTTCTCGTTTCTGGATGAAGGGGTACGTGAAAAAATAAAATTGTTGAATTTGGAATGAAACCATTCCACATGAGATGGTGCGGATTTTGGGATGGCGGCGGCATTGGTCCATATTCCATAACGACGTTCGCGAGGCCATCACTATCAACGACGAGCACTGTAGGTTATTTAGTACAGCTTTGGGTATTTTCTTCACCGTTTCTGGAGTCGTCCCCTCTTTTTGTCGACCACTGCGATTCTCGTCTTGGCAGCTCGTATAGCCTCGTTTAAACTCTGCCACCCAATGCTACCCAATATTTTTTAAACGAAGGAGCAGACTCACTCAGAGTAGAATCCAGTTCAGCTTTTATATTGGTTGGGCTCAGGCCTTTCAAATAAAAGTATTGTACCACATAACGATGACCAATTTTCTCCATTTTCACAGATTCACCGAAAATGTTCGCTATTGATGGCTGGCAAACAAATATTAAACAACGCAGCATCTTCAAACATGAAACAAATGCTTCGTAGATTTTTCAAACAATTACCGCCATCTCTAATTGAACAAGAAGTGAACAAGACAATTGAAATAGTTAAACAATAATACCAAAAGGGATTTGAATAAAAACAAATGGAAGTGAATAAAAATAGTCCTGTAATTCAATTCAAATGTTCATTTCATCATAGAATCCAAATTCTTCTCGAACCCGCCGCTGACAATATTTTTATTCAAATAAGAATCTAGGGGAAAGTTGCAGCGACAAAATCTTGTGTCCGTAACATTTTTCCGAGCAGCAGTATAATAATTATATTACTGAAAGTGAAGCTCTCTTGCATACTTTATGAGAGTAAATTTGCCTTTGCTTGTTTACAAACCAAAGTGACATTTAGTGATAAGTATGTGATAAGTATCATAATCGAGTCGGAAAGAGATACTTATACCGAGAAAATCCATATTACTAATGAAATCGAATACTTAATATACTAGGCTGTTTAAAAAGTTTTACCCGTACCGAGAATTTTGTAGTCTGTACATTGTTGCTGTACGTTTTTTTCCCAAATTTTGATTTTTTCCTCTTTTCTCATTACTAGGTGTATGATATTGTCAAGCGACTTTCGGCCAATTTTCCATTACGAATTCAAATTGAACCAAAGTGCTGTCAAAACAGCCCGAAAAATTAACCAGCCAATAGTGTTGATGTACGCACTGTAGTCCAGTTCCCAGAGACAAAAAAGGGGTTCACCTCACAAAAGATAGGGTAGAAGATTTTATTTTTTATTTCATTTTAATGGGTATAAAGGGTAAAATATAAAAAATGTGACTAAATCTGGGCTCGGTACAACTTTTGATAGCCGAAAAACCTCGAAATTTTCGGATATTTTTCAGATTTTTCGCAATATCTCGAAAAGGAGTGGTTCTAGCGAAAAACAGTTTCTATATAAAGTTGCAGAGCATTAAATTCCCTACAAATTTTATATTACTTTTTTCTTCTACGAGTAATAGAGAGCGAGCTACAGCATCTCAAAAATGGACCATTTTTCTCCAAATGGTAAAAAAGCCAAATAGCGCCTTCTTTTGTGTGTGTTATTGCGACCCAAAAGCCTACTTGAAAGTGTCTCGTGCACTTGCAGATCTGGATGTCACCGAGCCTGCTCGTGCGTAAAAGCCGGGTTGAAATGCTCCAGCATCTGCAAGAAATGCAGAGGCACCGACTGCGACAATGTCTCACTGTACTTCTCAAACCTGGACACAGATGGTGAGGAAGAGGAAGATACATTCACCCAATCAACCATGGATGAGGTCTACGAGGACCCACCCATCATGGCACCTGTTCGTGAGGAACCAGGACCGTCGAAACGCCTAAGAAGGAAGTGAAGTGAAAGGTTAACATCTCTTTTCATTGGTCAATTTTTCAATGATTTAATTGTAATTAAATATTTTACTTGTTTAATAAAAGTTTTTTCCATACACATGTTTTCTCACTCTCTTGTCTCCTTTATTCCTTTAGTTGCTGATTAATTTTGTATATATAATTCGAAAATACAACCAAAGAATGCATGGGTCGCAATAACACACACAAAAGAAGGCGCTATTTGACTTTTTTACCATTTTGAGAAAAATGGTCCATCGAGGTTTTTCGGCTACCAAAAGTTGTGCCGAGCCCATATTTAGTCACATTCTTTATATTTTACTCTTTATACCCATTGAAACTAAATAAAAAAATAAAATCTTCTACCCCACCCTTTGTAAGGTGAAATTCTCTGGAAACTGGACTACTGTTCGACATTGGAAATTTTAGCCTCGAAGATGAGCCCCGAAGTGGTCGACCTAAAGTAATCCAGGACGAGGATTCGAAGACCCTGGTGGTGACTGACCCTTCACAAACAGTGCGTGGAATGGAGGAAGAATTGGGCTCAGCTCCCATGAGGTTTTTAATGGTTTAAAATGTATTGAAAAGGCCAAAAGGCGCGAAAAATGGGTACCCATCGATTTGAACGATCGACAGAAATTGTCACGTTTTGAGGTCTGTCCTTTGCTTTTACACAACCAAAACAATCGTTTTTTGAATGGAATCGTCACTTGTGATAAAAAGTGGATCCCTCTACGATAACAGGAGATGTTCAGAACAATGGTTGGACACCGATGAGCCACCCAGGCACTTTCTAAATGCGAATATCCACCAAAAAAAGACTATGGATACGATATGGTGGTCAGCGGCTGGTATGATTTACTATAACTTTATGCAACTGGGCCAAACCATCGCATCAGAATCTAATTTGCTCAGGAAACTTTATCTCTTTGGTATTGAGGGTATTACTCATAAATGGTTTGCATCTTATCTATCGGGTATAAGTCAAAGGATTAAATATACAACAGTATCTGATGTTTCTGACGTATCTAACAGAGTACCACAAGGCTCAGTACTCGGACCTACCCTATTTCTACTCTATATCAACGAATTGACTACCATCGATATAGAGGGTGAATTTACTTTATTCGCCGATGACACTGCAATATAATGGTGCAATACCAACACGAATGATCTATATAATGCCATTTGCTCTGATATTTCCAAACTCTCAGATTGGTGTAAGGCAAATTTATTAGCTTTCAATGTATCAAAAACCAAAGTTTTATCCTTTAATTGCATTCTTGATAATATTCCTCTAGCTTCGAATTCGAATATGATTGAGAACACGTCATGCAACACATTTCTTGGGTTATTAATTGATAATATGTTGAAATTTGAGGACCACATAATATCACTTAACAAAAAACTTTTATCTGGATGTTATGCTGTGAAAATAACTTCTAACAAACTAGGACTAACTGCAGCTAAAACTGTCTATTATTCATTAGCAGAATCACATCTGAGATATGGGATCCCTTTCTGGGAGGTAAGTAATCAAACTCGACTCCAGTCGATTTTTATTCTGCAGAAAAGGTCATTGAGATTTCTCTGTAGAGCCAGGCGGCGATATTCTTGTAGACCTTTGTTTGTAGCAAACAAAATTTTATCACTGTATGCTCTATTCATTTTAGAAACAGTTTGTTTAGTGCATAAACATAGAACAGAACTTCCCTCTATTGTCTCTCATTACACGCCAGACCCTAAATTTGAGTCTTCCCATACCTAACACTACTTTAATTGAACATTCTATATTGTATAATGGTCTCAAGATCTATAATCATCTTCCTAACTACGTGAAATGCGTAGTAAACTGTACTGAATTTCGAAAATCAGCAAAGGATTTTCTTATCGAGAGGCCCTATTATAGTTTGCAAGAATATTATGACGATACTTTTTAATCATATTTTAAACAAATATTTTTACAAATGTCTGTCGAATGTAATGCAATATTCGTTGTAGTATTAACCAGATATTAGGTTGATTCAAAAGTTTTGTCCGTTTCAATGAGTATATTTAAAACTGTAACTATAATATACAGGGTGTCCCTGGACTTCCTCTTTTCCTCTCGGGAATGTATAGATGGGGTCAAAATATCACCAGTACTTCATATAACTTTTTTTCCTAAAAGTCTTCGTAACCAAGTTACGGGCCCTCGAAGTTACAAAATGAAAAATGTTTTTCTTTGATAACTTTTCAAGTGATTATTCAAAATCATCCAAATTTTGGTAATTGACTAAACAAATGAATT